CACAGAAAGAGAAACGATAATACCATCTTTACAAATCCTAAAATCAGTGCTTGGTCAGGTGCGAAAATTGATTATCTCGGTGCACACCATCAAGTACCTCCCTCCCACATAAGTGTCAACATTTTAAATAAATATAAATCTTATAAAATGTGATGCAAGAATCCGACTGTCTCAAATAGCATACACCGCAATATGTTGATATGTTGATTATGTGTAAAGATGGAATATATCGGTCCACTCCTTCTTGTACCTTCCCCACAAAGGGTCAAAATGTTGAATGAAGCCCATAAAACGCGAAATTAACATCCGATTCCAATTAGACTTGGCACATCTCAATATTACTATGAACACAAGATCTCTTGTAAAGATGGTAGAGATCGGAACATTCCTTCTGGTACCTCCCCCACAAAGGATCAAAGTCTTGAATAACCAAAACGATCATAAAATCCGAAATAAGCATCCAGTTCTCTTCATATTTCACACATCCCATTATTTCTCCTAACACAATTTCTGTTATAAAGATGGTAGAAAACGGACCATTCCTTCTGGTACCTTCCTGAGGTATTTTGACTGTTATAATTTTAAAAATACATAATATAGCCGTTATAGAAAACTCGAAACTTGAAATAAACGGTGAATAATGTAGCTAAAATCAAAATGTCGTATACAGAGAAGTACCGTTTTATCGGAGCTATACGAAGACCTGGACCAACATAGACTATTTTCTGTCACAGGCTGTGGCATCCATTACGAACTTCAAATACGACATCTCAAACAATTTCGGTGGGTGTTGCACCTAAACTCGTCAAAATAGCGAATATAGGGAGATACTGATATATGGGGCCTATACGAAGACCTGGACCTGCAAGGAAAATATTCTGTCACAGACTGTAGTTCTCATTACGAACTCTAAATAAGTAATTTGAAACAATTCCGGTGAATAATGACGCTAAAATTATCAAAATACCGAATATTAGGAGGTACCATTATATGGGGGCTATACGAAGACGTGGACGTGCACAGACAATTTTCTGTCTTAGGCTGTAGTACCCATTACGAAGTTCAAATACCAAATTTGAAACAATTCCGGCGAATAATGTCACTAAAATCATCAAAATACCGAATATCGGGAGGTACCGTTAAATGGGGGCTATATGAAAACGTGGACCCACATGGCCCATTTAAGAACTTAACCTGCCCACTGAAGAAATAAACATGAGTGCAAAATTGTAGCCTTCTATTTCAATTTGTTCGAAATATAGCGTGATTACAACAGACAGACAGACGGACATCGCTAAATCGACTTAGAATTTTACACTGATCAAGAATATATATATAATATATATATATATATATATATATATATGTATGGTGGAGGCTATAAAAACAAAACATCCTAATTTCAGTTAGTCACTCACTCATCACTTTACTCTTTTATATATATAAATATTGCAGGTTCTCGAACAAAACTATTAATATCTTTTTCAAAAACTTCCCAACCAGTCCTCGTTCATAAATTAAATTTCTTATTGCGTTTTGTTTTTTTTTTTTTTTTGCACACATTTCATCACTCATTTCTATAATGTTTCTTTATTGTTTTGTTTGCCTTGTTATAACTTTTTCTGTCAGGGCTGCCTTTTTTTCGCCGCCCCCCGCCGTTGTTGTTGTTTTTCTACTTCTTCCAACAAAAATAAAATGTCTCTTGTCAATTTACGTTAAATTTAGTCGAAACAAGAAAATAAACGTTAGCACATGTGCTGCCTACCAACATCAACAGACGACGTTCGTCAAACATTTTCCCCCTCTGCTTTCAGTCATCCCTTCATTTAGGAAAACTTTAACGGCTTGGATGGTGGATCGACTAATCTGGCTAATATGAAATTCAATGCCATACACTCACACACACACGCGCGTATACAGCGCCTTGGCAACAACAAAGTGGGCCTATATTATTACCCACCTTTGCTTAAACAGCATCAAACGCGTCAGAAGTAACCAAAGATAAGTTACTTTATTAGAAATTCCTTAAGTTGTTAGTTGGCTTGGTTAAAGTTACGACACAAAAAGGAGTAAAAGAAAAACTCATAGAAAATTTTCCTTAAGAAAACTTAACAAATCCTTATCGGAGCTGTTGCTTTTGTGCGGGTGTGTGTTGCGAAAAAGTTCAACACCAAAATTTCATTTTGAAATATTCAAACCGCTGGCTTTTGTTCTTCGCCCGCTTATGCTGACAAATTCCTTTTATATTAAGTTATTTAAAGGGATAAACATTGATAAAAGGACAAGCAAAAATATTCCATGTATTTGACGAAGGAATTCACTTGTGTATCCTTTCCATCCAAACGGCCAGAAAAAAGATGCACAACAGCGATAAAAAAAATTCAAATCAAATGACCAAGGTTATCATCTCGGGATCAAGTGTTAAAACCAGTCTAACACCTAACTGACCTTTTTGTTAGGCCTTTTCGGCTGTTGGCTAAACAAAGTATGTCTAAAATATAAATTTTCCAAAAGGTCAGCCGTTGGAGATTTTTGATTTCAATTTATAATTTGCCAGCATGAGATGATGCTGGCTTTCAATTAAATTGGAGAAGCCATTAAAGATTTTGTTAATACTGTAATTTAAATATCTTTTGACGAGGAGGATAAATTGAAATGATTTGCAAAATTACTACAAGATTGCATCGAAAAAGTTATTTATTGGGTATTACGAATATATTTGGACAACAAACGCTTTTATTATCTTTTATTTAGGGAAATATATGGAGGTGATTTGGACTTCGTATGTGGCCTTGGAATTTATTTTGAAAATACCAAATAATAATTTTCTACGGTTTTGTTTTTTTGAAAGTTTAAGTTGAAAGTAACCCAAATTGAAATTTTCGTATTATGATTCCTTGGGATTCTTGAATTATAGGCATACAGTGTCGCCGACAATATTACCTATGGCAATGGGAGGATTACTTTCGTCGAAATTTTCAACGCTCAAGCGAGTCGCCAAATGGGTCTTTTGGCCCCTTATGCAATAAATGCCAAAAAAAAACCCTTAAACTGGACCTTAGCAAGTCAAAATGTTCCACAAAAGTATTTAGCATTAGAACCAGTGAAGAAAGGTCAAAAATGGGTCAGAGCCGACTTTATTACACCCTACATCACCATTCGTATTTAGTAGAGCTACTCGTATTTTTTATGACAATTCCGATGAATAATGTCGCTAAAATCATAAAAACACCGAATATCGGGAGGTACCGTTATATGGGGGCTATATGAAAACGTGAACCTACATGGCCCATTTACGAACTTAACCTGCCTATTGGCAAAATAAACATGTGTGCAAAATTGTAGAAACATTAGCAGAAATGGTTCGAAAAGTGAAGAAGCGACTTGATCGAAACTCGAAACATATCGCAATATTCCATTCGGAAAATATTGAAAAACGAGCTCGGGGTAAAGCCATTAAGCAAGAACTTACACCGCAGCAATAAGAAAATAGACTCAAAAGTGCTAAAAAGTATTTTCTCCTAGCCGAAAGTGATGAACTGCCGAATTTGGTTTTCCCCGATGAGAAAACATTCGTTGTCCAGCAGTTTGTAAACAAAAGAAAAGGATCGTGTTTGCTTGCCAAAGAGGTCAGCTGAGAATGTGGTTGGCCACCAGAACTCAAGCGCTGGCCGCCATAACAGCCGATGATCGCTCTCCCCTCATATTAATCGACCGTGACATAAAAATAAATATTATCCGGAAAATATTCTGGAGGGTGTATTAAAGCCTTGGACACGCAAATATTTTTGCCCCAGGCCTTGGACATTTTCTGGATACCATTCTGTTGAACTATTGTGTCTGGAGTATTTTGGAAAGCAAGGTTGGGACTAAAAAATACCAAAGTGTCGATCATCTCTGGCTGGGATTGAAAATATTCGGGGTTTAGTGTTCATTTTCCTATTTTCTTACATAAAAGTTAGGGTCTATTTTACCCGCTAATTATAGTCCGATGGCCACCCAAATTGGTAGGTTTCTGCCCACTCCTAAACTCCAACTCCATGTAAATTTTTGCGTCGATTGGTTCATAATTGTGGCCTATAGAGCAACTGCAAAATAACACTTTTTTCTTTTTTGGTCCATTTCAACCCCTAAATATCGTGCGATCATCTCCAAAAACAATAGGGTTGTATTCTGACCATAACCCCCACCTCCATTTCCAATTTCGTGAGGATTGGTTAAAAATTGCGACCTGTAACTTGATTACAAATTAACATGGGCATACATAGCTAGATCGACTCAGCTCGGCGAGCTAGGGAGATCCATATGGGAAACCAATATTTCGATGTGTTACATAATTTTTGGCCCAATCAAACTTATAATACACCCAACACATAGTGTTGTAGGGTATAAAAATAGTGAAATTACTTCTTTTTTTGCTCAGAAAGAACGGAACAGAACATCCCTTATTTGGAATAAAACAATAATAGGTAGGTATCGACACTTAATTGTTTGCTGGGTATCTATAATTTTTTGAGTTAACAGTTTTTCTACGAATGGTGACCCCTTAGTTAATAACTGTCTATGTGTTTTCATTACTTTTTGTTCGATAATCTTTTTAATTTGGGAATTAAAATTTCCAGTGTTATTCCCGAAAGTGATTTTTGACATGTGACAGACTTTAATTAAATGAGCCATATTCCCATAAATCTCATTTACCTACTTTGTACTTCTTTGATTTAGTAACGACAAAAATCTTTTTGCCTCTTATAGGTATTTGTTACCTTTTAACAGTCTGTTGCAAAATGAAAAAATAAACATAAATAATATTCGAATAACATGGTGTACCTTCATTCCCTCGTTCTTCTCTGTTCTCATATCAAAGAGAAAAAAACAATTCCACTCGGTATCCAGTGTCTTGCATCTATCTCTCCATATTCAAGTTCAATGTACTAAATAAATGAGAGAATTGAAAGGATTACTAAAAATAAACAAAGAGACCTGTGTGAGCATTTGCCGTTATTTGCAACGACAAGCCAACGACAACAATACGCATTTCGATGTCACTCGGCGACGCCAAGCATTGACAGTAGCAACTCAAGTGAATAGCCATAAATGAAAAGAAACAAAATTAAATATGCAAGCCTATTTATTAATTTGTTTATCTTTAATCGGTTTTGTTTTGAATCTGGCAGCAAGTAATGGTAATTAGAAATTTGTTGGGAAAACATTAAATAAACATGGAGTTTTTAAATTTGTTTGTAATTAATTTACAGATTTACTGGAACTAACTTGTTTAAAGCAACAACAATGCAATCAATTCGAACACAGCGGCATAAAGGCGGATTGTATCGAGGATCGTTGTCATTGTATCAACGAAAACCGGGAGCGTGTACAATGTAAACCACCGGTAAGTGGAGTTAGCTGACAAGATATGTTTTCTGAGGACTAAAGGAGCTATAAATGTGGATATTTAAAATATACTTTTGAGAATATCATTGTATCATTGCTGTTTAAAACATTTATGTGTTAATATTAAGTCAATTTCTCACCATTCTTTAAAGGAACGCAAATTGGGTAACATTATTGGTAGTCCTTGCCCGTGTAAAATGGATTTTGCTGAATGTGATCACAAACAGGATATTTGCTATTGTGCTGCCGGTTACATGCCAAGCCTGGATAAGAGACGCTGCATAAAAAGTGAGTTTTTTATACCCTCCACCATAGTATGGAGGGTATATTAACTTTGTCATTCCGTTTGTAACTCCTCGAAATACTCATGTCAGACCCAACAAAGCGTAAAATTGATCAGCGTAAAATTCTAAGTCTATTTAGCGATCTCTTTCATACGAATTGAGATAGGCGGCTAAATTTTTGCACGAATGTTTATTTTGCCAGTAGGTAGGTTAATTTCGTAAATGGGCCATGTAGGTCCTCGTTTTCATATAGCTCCCATTTAATGGTACCTCCCGAAGATTTTAGCGACATTATTCACCGGAATTATTTCAAATTTGGTATTTGAATTCGAAATGGATACTACAGGCTAAGCCAGAAAATTGTCTGTGCAGGTCCACGTCTTCGTATAGTCCCCATATAACGGTACCTCCCTGTATTCGGTATTTTGATGATTTTAACGACATTATTCACCGGAATTGTTTCAAATTTGGTATTTGAAATTCGTAATGGATACTACAGCCTAAGACAGAAAATTATCTGTGCAGGTCCACATTTTAGTATAGGCCCCATATAATAGTACCTCCCTATGTTCGGTATTTTGATGATTTTAGGTACAATACTCAACCAAATAGTTTGAGATGTCGTATTTGCAGTTCGTAATGAATGCTACAGCCTGTGACAGAAAATTGGCTATGCAGGTCCAGGTCTTCGTATAGCTCCGATATAACGGTACCTGCCAATATTCGGTATTTTGATAATTTTAGCGTCATTATTCACCGGAGAAGTTTCAAATTACGTATTTAGAGTTCGTAATGGGAACTACAGTCTGTGACAGAAAATTGTCTATGCAGGTCCATGTCTTCGTATAGGACCCATATATCAGTACCTTCCCATATATTTTGACGATTTTAGGTACAATACTCACCGAAATTATTTGGAGTTCGTAATGTAGGATCCTGTGACAGAAAATTGTCTATGCAGGTCCACGTCTTTGTATAGCTCCGATATAACGGTACCTCCCTATAGACGGTATTTTGATGATTTAAGCTATATTATAGTACGTTTATATATATGAGGGTTAACCCACTGGGTTTGGATTTAAATTGTCATATCCATTACTTTTACTTCAAATAAATCCTCTCAAAGTAGGTTAACCCTACAAAAAGTTCTAACGTAAACATGGCATTATTCACCGTTTATTTCAAGTTTCGAATTTGAATATGGTAATGGCTTATGACAAACAAAGCTTATGTAGGTTTACGTCGTATAGACCCCAATATTCGGTATTTTTAAGATTTTAACAGAATTTTTAACGGATTTTATTTTCTGAAAATTTCCAAATTAGTGCCAAATGGTGGAGGGTAGTTAAAGTTCGGCCCGGCCGAACTTACTTCTTTTTACTTGTTTCCATTTCGATAATTATGACACAGGCACAAATTTTAATAACGTTTTTTGTTGATTTTTTTGTTCCTAACGCAGAAAAAGCATTGCTTGGAGACAGATGTGAACTCGACTCACAATGTCAAAGAGGTGATTATAATGCCATTTGCCATAAGGACTACGAAACGTGTATGTGCATGGATTTATTCGTCAATGATACTGGGAAATGTGTTTCCATTGTCGGTAAGTAATGTGGGTTGATAAGGATAGCGAGGTATTCTAATTCAACAAACAGAAACATATTTTGTGGAAAACAAGTTAGAAATGCTTAAATTTAAATTAAAAACAAAAACCAAACATTTAAATTAAAATTCTTCAAATCAATTAACTTTCTAACATAATAAATATTCATATTTCGGTACATTTGACATTAAAAAGTCCTGCATTTTTTTCTTTACAGGTCCCAAATTCGTCTGCCACAACGATACACACTGCATTAAAAATTATCGCGAAAATGTTCGTTGTTATGAAAATACTCAAAACTGTGTCTGCGCCGAAGGTTTCATTGCCTCCACGGATAATACACGCTGTCAAGAAATTTCAGAATATCTGGAAAAATGTACCGGACATAGCCAATGTATTGCCTCGATGGGTTTGGGTGGTCGCTGTGTTGACAACACCTGTCAGTGTGATGAAAAATATTTTGTTGAAGAAATGAAATCTCCCGAAACGGGCATAAAACGAACTGTATGTTCACCAATTGTCGAAAGAGGACAATATTGCCGTTACTCCGAAGATTGTTATCAACGTCAGCTACACAATGAATCGCAACAGACAATGGATTGTATTTATGGTGAATGTAGTTGTAAACTTGGATTTTTTGTACTAAACGAAGGTGAATGCATGCCCGGTGCTGCAACGGCAATGAAGGTTTCTTCAATTGGATTTATAATTATGATGATATTTTTAGCTACTAAGTTTATTTAAACATAATGTGTAAATAATATTTTTGAATACGCACGATGAATTGTAAATAAATTGTAAAAAATTGTATATCACACTGTAAGTCAAAAGAAACCCCCAGCAGATTATGAAAGTAGAGCTAAAAAGGGAAACACTTGTTACGGCGTTTCGAAAGTTCACATCTAAAAGTTACCTAAATAGAAGGTTTAAGCCCCTCTCCTCAACGCTTTTTTGAATTATCTGATCAAGATTCCTTGGATTCCAATTATTTTAGTTACAATTTATACTCGGTAATGTTACAGATAAAAATACAAAGATTAGTTTGGCCAATTTTTTCAAATATGGTTCAAAATCACTGTAAAGGGATCGTTTGTCATAAATGTTTACTATAGGTCCCAGAAGACATCAAAAGTTTAAATCTTACATTTTAGGGTTAAAACCGTACCTTATGTGAGTTTATGGAAATTTCTTCCACAAAGCACTATTTTGTGTGTTTCTATCTGTAATATTACTGAAGAGACTTTATAATATTACTGAAGAGACCACTTATTATTTAAATTATGTTTATAAGAAGGGTGAACATTTCCAATTAAAATATAGATTTTATGATTTTTATTTCTTGCTTTCCAATAATCCTCATATGAAACACACAAAAACATTTAAAAATAAGAGAATCAGGATTTAATATTTGGTCCAATCCATCCATCCAAATCGGCTGGTGAAAGTTCTTCAAAATTCCGTAAAGTCAACGGTTTTTATATCCTCAATCATATGGCTAGAGAGGGTATATATCATTTGATACGGTCAACACGGATATTTGGAGTACATCTAATGATGTCCGTCCGTCCGTCTGTCTGTCTGGCTGGATTGTGCGCACGATAAATCTCGAAGGGAGTATCCGATTTGGGCCAAACTTGGTACATCGTGATATTTTTGTCAAACTTAGATCGAGTTCGGATATGGGCAATATCGGTACACTCCTTCTAGTACCTCCCCCCACAAAAGATCGAATTTTTCAGAAAATATATTTTCTGCAAAGAAAGAGAAACGATAATCCGATTTGGCTTCAACTTTGCAAATGCTAATATTTTCGTCAGAGCTAGGTCAGGTGCGAAAATCAACAATATCGGTCCACTCTATCAAGTGCCTCCCCCAAGTACCAAGTATGAAGGACCTCCCAAAATTTTGAATAATTACAACTCTAATAAAATGTGATGTAAGAGTCCGACTGTCTTCAAATTTCACACATCCCAATATTTTTATAAACCCAAGATCTGGTGTGAGGATGGAATATATCGGACCACTCCTTCTGGTACCTCCCCCACAAAAGATCGAAATTTTGAATATCCATTAAACACGAAATTAACACCCGATTCCATTCAGACTTGGTACATCTCAATATTTCCATCAACACAAGATCTGTTATAAAGATGGTAGAGATTGGACCAATCCTTCTGGTACCTTCCACACAAAGGGTCTATGTTTTGAATAACCAAAACGAGCATAAATAAGCATCCAGTTCTCTTCAAATTACACACGTCCCATTATTTCTACTAATTCAAGGTCTGGTGTGACGATGGAATATATCGGTCCACTCCTTCTGGTACCTTCCCCACAAAGGGTCAACATTTTGAGTATCCATGAAGCTCATAAAACGCGACATTTACGTTCGATTCCATTCAGACTTGGTACATCTCGATATTTCCATTAACACAAGATCTGTTATAAAGATGGTAGAGATCGGACCATTCCTTCAGGTACCTCCCACACAAAAGGGCTAAGTTTTGAATAACTAAAACGAGCATAAAATCCGAAATGAGAATCCAGTTCTCTTCATATTACACACGTCCCATTTTTTCTACTAACTCAAGGTCTAGTGTGAAGATGGAATATATCGGACCACTCCTTCTGGTACCTCCCCCACAAAGGGACACAATTTTGAGTATCCATGAAGCTCATAAAACGCGAAATTAACATCCGATTCCATTCAGACTTGGTACATCTCAATATTTCCATCAACACAAGATCTGTTATAAAGATGGTAGAGATCGGACCATTTCTTCTTGTACATCCCCACATAGGGTTAAATATTTTGAAAAACAGAACGCTCAAGGAATTCGAAATAAGCATCCAAATGCATCCATCCATCTCCCAAAATTTCCCACAAAAAACAATATTGCTAACACAAGATCTGCTGTGGATATGATATACATCTGCCAACTCCTCCTGGTACCTCACCCACAAAGGATCACAATTTCCAATACTTATATCTGTCATAACTTGCGAAACAAGTCGGCTATATCTAAATTTATCTCTTAACCAGAATTCTTATATGAATATGTAGTTTATCGGAATTTATGATTTCGAATAAATTTGGTTAAAAATGTTCGATTGTCTTGAAATTTTGACGATACCAATATTTTTTGCTGTATTAGATGAATTGTGAAAATGGAATACTTCGGTCCGCTTTATTTGTTAACTCACCCATATTTCCACTTTTTCTAAAATTTTGCACATACCTCATATAAAATATAGGAATTTGTCGATATAGTTCAAATCTGGAACGTTGTAATATTTATATCAGTCTTAGGTCAGATACGAATTGGTCAATATTGGCCAACTGTTTCGGAACCTCCCTCATAGCTGGGGGTATACATCTGTCGACAAAATCGACTGATACTATTTTAGTTTTTAAATACCAAATTTCAAAAATAGAATTGTTAAAAAAAGCTGGTGAAAATCACCAAAATACCAAATAATCGGAAGTACTGCTTTATGAGTGATAAAAGAAGTAATAAGTATATTCTAGCAGTCTTCTGCCACAGAAGAAAGAAACGTAGACCTATGTAGACAATGTTCAGTCACAGGACATATGGCCCATCATTAACTCCAAATATTAAATTTCAAACAATTACGCTAGAAAATGTGGTTTAAGTCGTCAAACAATCGAATATGGAGAGCATTGTTATATGTGGGTTATAGGAAAACGTGGATCTATATAGACCATGTTTTGTCACAGGACGTAAAAACCATAGCCAAAATAAGTAAGTAATATACTGTTATCAAATAAATAAGATTTTGAATCTTCACTGCAATCCGTTGGAGTTGTTCCACAAAAAAACTAAATTCCCATAAATGAGGAAAAAAATTAAAATTAAAAAAAAAGAAAATTAGCTCTAATATTTTTTAAAAACATATTTAAACACTTTCACGCCAAAAACATCTTTACAAAAAATATTGTTTTTTTTTTTTAACAAAAAGATGAATACAAGTATTTAAAACTAAAAACACACTTCAATAAATATAATAATGAATTTTAAAACATTTAAAACTAAAAATCACAATTTCATAAATAAAACCTTATTATAAAATAGGTAGATATAAATTTATTTGCGTCCTTTGGCCTTTGCGGTAGCAGCGGTACTTCCGCCAGCTGCAGCAGCATTCACAGCAGTTTTTGTTGCAGCGGCGACAGTTGCAGCTGCTTTCTTCTTTTTAGCCGCGGCAGCAGCATTTTTCATTGTCTTTGGACGTGGTGGTGTAGGCTTCACCAAGAGATTTATTGATTTGCGTGGTTTCATTTTGGTTTTGGATTTATCATCACCAGCCTTTGCCTTGGCTCCTCCTGCAGCCTTTGCCTTAGCGCCAGGTTTTTTCGCTCCGGCTTTATCAACTTTGGCTTTTTTGGCTGGCTTATCCTTACCTTCTTTAGCAGCTGGACGTTTTTTGGTCTTGCCATCATCACTTTTTGCTGTTTTAGCCTTTGCATTGTTCTCTTTGTTGTTGGATTTTTTGGCTTTCTTCGCATCTTTTTCCTGTATCGGAAAAATAGTAGTAATTTGAGCATTATTGATGGTACAGTGGTTGAAAAATGCAAAACAATTATCCATTATCCATTTTTTTTATCTTTTTACTCACCTTCTGTTTGTTCTTCTCCTTCATCTTCTTTTCACGTTCCTTTTCCAAACGTTTCTTTTCGGTTTGGTATTTTTTGGTAAATCTGAAGGAAAGTTTTACTTGTTCCATGGTACCGTTATCAACGCATGTCTTCAAATAACGCTTGATATGGAGGTTTAAACGTTTGTGCTCCATACTGGGGTGATTGGTTACGATAACACGTCTAATGGCCACGACCGAAGAGCCCGATCTCTCCTTAAGATATTTTATAGCATCATCCACAAGATTAGCTATTTTCGGAGTTGATTTCTTCTTCAATGCACCGCCAGCACCAGGAGTTTTGGTTTCAGAACCACTGGTTTTGGGTTTCTTCAAAACGATTGGCTTATTACCACCACCCAATGATTTGTTAATGACATCTGGTGGTTCATCTTCATCATCTTCAAGTTCATCGCCTTCGTCATCTTCTTCCTCGTCCTCCTCCTGAGAGTTGGCGTCAGGTTCCTCCTGGGACTCTTATTTGGTTATAAAGAAAAAAAAATAAATATAAATTTTTAATAATTATAGTTTGTTCTTACCCTCAGCTGCCATTTCATCATCATCCATTTCGTCCTCGCTGACCGAATTGTTTAATTCAGTATTTAATTTCATAGCTTTATTTGCACAAATAATAATACAATTAACACAAAAGACAAAACTTGCAACTATACGAATAGCACTTCACTAGTTTGCAATTTAATAGAAAATGTGAACATGAAGCATTACTAAGCAATCATTTGTAAAAAATAACGGAATTAAAGAATTTACAACAATGCTTTATGAATTCGTTGATTTGTAGAAAGTACTAAGTCACATTAAAAAAAGAAAAACAAAAAACAATTTAATAAACAGCTAAGTTTTAATACCCTCCGCCATTTTGAAAGAACTAGAAAAATATCAAAACAATTTCAAAACAAGTAAAAATATTAAGTTTGGCCGGGCCAAACTTTTAATACCCTCCCACAAATTCCAATTTTTACCGCTATATAGGGATATACAAAAACGTGGACCTATACATACAATGTTTCGCCAACGGAGCTAGAACATATTATGACCAACTAATTCCAATTTTTAGACAAATCCATGAAAAAATGTGACAAAAACAATCAAAATCCGAATATCGGGAGATACCGTTACATGGGGCTATACCAAAGCGTGGACCTATACATACAATGTTTCACCACACGAACTAGGACCCATTATGTCCTACAAATGCCAATTCTCAGACAAATCAGCGAAAAAATGTGGCCTGTATCGTGATTTCAACAGACAGACGGACATCGTTTAATCGACTTAGAATTTTATGCTGATTATGAATATATATACATTATGGGATCTACAACGAATATTTAGCATGTTACAAACGGAATGACACGGTTAATATACCCTCCTTTCCAAGGTGAGGGGGATAACAAGTTAAATAGCATCAGTTGGGTTTGCCGACAGATGTATACCCCTCGCCTTGAGTTATGATTATTCAAACTGTTGGCCCTTTATAGGGGAGGTTCCGAAGCAGTTGGCCAATATTGACCAATTCGTATTTGACTTAAGGCTGATAAAAATATTACAACGTGCCAGATTAGAAGCATATCGACTACTTCCTATACTTTATATGAAATTTGTGCAATTTTTTGAAAATGTGGAAACATGCCTAAGGTAGCAGATATAGCGAACCGAAGTATTGTAAACTTAGATTGCACAGTTTACTGCAAGAATGTTCCCTACATACAGGGTGATATAAAAAAGACTGCAACCAATCTCAGACTGCTGTCATTTCTAAGCCACTCGTCCGACAGCTGTTAAAATTATTCCACTGATAGTTAGTTCAAGGCAAAACCATTGAAATTCCAAAAAGAAAAAAATAGACTCAAAGGAGCTAAAGAGGTGGTGAACTGACGAATTTGGTTTTCTACGATGAGAAAAAAATTCGTTGTCCAGTTTGTAAGCAAACAAAATGATCGTGTTTACTTGCCAAAGAGGTCAGCTGTAAATGTGCACCTTCGGTTGGCCACCAGAACTCAAGCGCCGGCCATGGTGTGGGCCGCCATAACAACCGATGGTCGCTCTCCACTCGTATTAATCGACCGTGACATCAGAATAAATGCCGAATATTATCGCGAAAATATTCTGGACATGTAAACATTTTGGACATTCCAACAGGACTCAGCACGCACCACCCAAGAATGATTACAAAATGAGGTTCCTCACTTCTTTTCCAGCTCGCAATGGCCACCAAAACCTCCGCATACCAATCCGTTGGACTATTGTGTCTGGAGTATTTTGGAAAACATGGTTGGCATTAAAAATACCAAAGTGGGCCAAAATACCGCAGAGCAACATTCGGGCAGCGTGTGACGGTTTCATTGGCCGTTTTAAGGCCATAATTCGTGCCAAAGGTGAACAAATCTAAACTTTTTCTAAAATTTGATGCTATTTCCGACATTTTTGCTTTTATTCAATAAAATTAAAAAAAAAATTATTGCGTTTCACTTTGTTGCAGTTTTTTATCTCACCCTGTATTTTCAAGCCTAATTTGGTTGTTTGTACGTTTGGTGCACAATAAAAGACAAATCGGACGAAGATATATATGGGAGCTATATCTAACTTTTGACCGATTATCTCCAATTTCAATAGGACTCGTCCTTGGGTCAAACAAATGATTTGTGCAAAATTGTATCTGGATCGGGCAATAAATGCGACCTGTACTTTGTTTACGAAAATACATGGACAGACGGACCTGCATAAACCTGCAGAATGCGATTCTATGCGGATCATCAAAAGGAACTATGGTCTATATCGTTTCCTTTTGCCTGTTACAAACAAGTGAACAAAGACATAATACCCTGACCACCTTGTGGTATAGGGTATAAAAAGACCCATTACCTTTTAGCAAATTCAATTGAATAATGAAGAGAGAAATGTTCTCCATGCAAATAAAATTCCACGCCGATATTCATGATTAGGCAGATAACAATTTCATTTTCAAATAAATATTTTAATTTTAGCGAAAAAATCTTCGTGAGAATCCTTTTAAGTCAGCATATCCTTTGTGTGTTAGCAATGAAGCTGTTAATTTCTTATTTGTTATTATCATAAATTTTCTAACATTTTACTGTAATGAGTTCAAAGAATGCAGGTTCAGAGTTTTTATGTAAACATTCTGATATACATTGTTAACCTCATGAATATATATAAATGACATGATTATACATAAGAAAATTGACTTTTCAATGTTTAATATAGGAAAAATGATAGCAAAGAGAAGGTACCGGGGCTCTTGGGTCTCACTTTACGTATGCTCTTATCCATGAATTACGCATTTTGGGGTTGTAGATCAAAGCAAAATATGAACAACACTTTATTTGGCTTGTAAGAGTGGATCAGAGCTGATTTGCATGGCACTGATTTTAAACATGCTTTAATCTGATTTTAAGAGGTTTATATAGTCTCATATAGATGCCCTTCTGAACTTTGTCTATATATATATATATATATATATATATATATATATATATATATATATATATATATATATATAGCCTTCGATTTGTAGTTTTGATATTGGTATGAATTATCTTGTAAGAGAATACCAAAAATTATTCTATTTGTTCCTACAGCCAAATATTTACTTAAATGTAGAAAACATGATGAAGCAATCGACAATTAAAAGACCGAAAGACAATATAAACGTACAAAAAGACATTTAAAGTTTAAAAAGTTCTTTTAATAATTATTAACACATATATATATATGTAGTATCTTTTTATTATTATCGTAGTTATAGTATTTTGTTAGAACCTTTATCATTTATATTTATACAATATGCATATATTACTTTAAGATGTAATTTTTTCAGAACTTCTGATTATACTGAGTAAGTTCTTTATAGCGTTAGTTAATCAAAATATACAACAATGTACTAGAAACCCACAAAGATGGACACCGAAAAAATGTTGATATGAGAAAAAAATCCAATAACATACATGCATAATAAAAATTGGAAACTCTGAACAACCAAAAAAAATAATACTTTGCAATTTCAAGAAAACAAGAATAATAAAAATAAACAAATGATGATTTAAAGATTTGTAGGTATGTGTTTTTTTATTTTGGAATGCTGAATATATATATGAACGATTTGTTGTCTTTTTTACAACAAGAGAGAGGTGTTTTATTGTTTACTCCTATGCCACTTACTATTCTAGTGTGCATATGCTGTTGTATTGCTGTTGTTGATGTTGCGACACAGCACCAAAGTAAATCAAAAGAAAATAGAAAGAAAACTAAGTAAAACATTTAATACATTATCTTTTTGTTCAACTTATAAACTAACAAAGAAACAAACATTTTGTTGTGGTACTAACGCAAATGATGTTTTTATAAATTAAAACAATTTGCTATTGCATAGAGGTTTAAACTAGACCCTACCAAAGAGAAGTTGGCAATATTCTTACTTCTTCAAAGAAAAAAAACACTCTTACAATTCTGATTTTAAAACAATAACGGGCGGCGACTTGTTTTTGATGTTGTTTTGTTATATAGGATTTGTTTTAAAATAGAATTTGCTTTTGTGTTTCTCTTTTACATTTTCCGCTCTTATTTACAATTACTATTAGTAAGTTGTTATTGTTGTTGTTGTTTTATATATATATAGGGGGGAAATATTTGGAAAAAATGACACTAACATTTTCGTTGACACCATCAATACTATTTTGTTTTTCTTTTAATTATATTATTTAACATACTTTTATTTTAAATGGTAACTGAATACGGTGCTTTTTTCACTATTGTTGTTATTTGTTGATAACGATAATAATTATTGCATTTTCATGTTTGAACAACAATTAATTAAAGCTTTCAAAGCTTTTGCTTTTTGTTTTTGTTTAGACTAAAAATTTAATAAAACAACATAAAATAAACAAAATGAACGACGAAAACAGATTGTTTTGTTTAAAACGAACGAAGAATCTAATGACGCGAATCTCTGGGATAGAATTCAGCCAAGATGGAAGCTGGGATACGTTTCAACATTTCCTTGGGGAAGATACGCAACAATTGCCAGCCAATGTCCAAAGATTCGAAGACGGTACGGTTTTCATAGTTACCCTGGAAGATAAATAAAATGATTTATTTTAGTAATTATTCTGACGACGTATATATTAAAATTAACAACGTTAATAATAAAAAATGGCATATTTTTTTTAAATTAAGTTAATTGAAATAGAACCAGAGTAGGTTATTGGTTCTCTGGTATATCCACATTAGATATAGATATATACAAATAGTAAAAGGGATCTTCTTAAAGAAAATCTAAATATTTCACGATTCTTTAAAACAATTAGTTTTAGGTAAGAAAACTCTTCTATATGATTTCCGTTCATAAACAATCTATATCTATATTTTCCGTTCATAAACAATGCCTGACAGATTTCAAAACATATTATAACGTATATATAAACAAAATATTGTGATATTATGTAGTACAGTCTAATAATTTAATAAAAAATATAGGCCTTCCATAAAACATAGTAGGAAAAACATCATCTAGGCGAAGAGTTACCGAATTTTTTTTTTTTTAAATCGATCTTAGGTAAATATATTGGCTACTGAGATTTTTGATATGTTATATGTACATACATATCAAAAATCTCAGTAGAATAAATTTACAAACAATCAACAAAATTTGCCACAATTTCGATAAAAAAACCAAATTTATTTTTGTTATTACTTTCCAAGTAATTCAAACTCACCTGTGAAATGAAGTTCTTTTCGAATTTGGTCAAGAATTCCAAATACAACAAATCATCAGGAGTCAAAGCTTCCTCACCGACGACAGCCTTCATAGCTTGTACATCCTTACCGATGGCATAACAGGCATACAATTGATTGGAAACATCAGAGTGATCCTTACGTGTCATACCCTCACCGATGGCAGATTTCATCAAACGTGACAATGAAGGCAATACGTTGACTGGAGGATAGATCTGTCTGTTGTGCAATTGACGATCGACGTAGATTTGACCCTCAGTAATGTAACCAGTCAAATCAGGAATTGGATGGGTAATATCGTCGTTAGGCATAGTAAGAATGGGAATTTGGGTGATGGAACCGTTACGACCCTCAACACGACCGGCACGTTCATAAATGGTAGCCAAATCAGTGTACATATAACCGGGGAAACCACGACGACCGGGCACTTCTTCACGGGCAGCAGATACTTCACGCAAGGCTTCAGCATAAGAAGACATATCGGTTAAGATGACCAAGACGTGTTTCTCGCATTGGTAGGCCAAGAATTCGGCAGCGGTCAAAGCCAAACGTGGTGTAATGATACGTTCAATGGTGGGATCGTTGGCCAAATTCAAGAACAAGCACACATTTTCCATAGAACCGTTCTCTTCGAAATCTTGCTTGAAGAAACGAGCAGTTTCCATGTTGACACCCATAGCGGCGAACACAATGGCGAAGTTATCTTCATGATCATCCAAAACAGATTTGCCGGGAACCTTGACCAAACCAGCTTGACGACAAATTTGGGCGGCAATTTCATTGTGGGGCAAACCGGCAGCTGAGAAAATGGGAATCTTTTGACCACGAGCAATGGAGTTCATCACATCGATGGCAGAGATACCAGTTTGGATCATTTCTTCGGGATAGATACGAGACCAGGGGTTGATGGGTTGACCTTGGATATCCAAGAAATCTTCAGCCAAAATTGGGGGACCCTTGTCGATGGGCTTGCCGGAACCGTTGAATACACGACCCAACATATCCTCAGATACGGGGGTACGCAAAATATCACCAGTAAATTCACATAGTGTGTTCTTGGCATCAATGCCAGAGGTACCCTCGAACACTTGGACAACAGCCTTGGAGCCGCTGACTTCCAAAACTTGACCGGAACGTACAGTACCATCAGCCAAACGCAGTTGGACGATTTCGGCGAATTTGGGGAATTTCACTTCATCCAAAATGACCAAAGGACCGTTGACACCAGACACAGTCTTGTAGGCTGGAAAAAAAAGAAAAAAAAAACAAATTATGTTTAATGCTTCACATGATAGATAAAACCAACGCAGGGAGTACTGACAACAACAACATGTTAATTATTTAATTTAACATGTGAGAAAGGGTATACACTCACACTATTTAGACCATATCAGTTAGTGCATTGTGGCCTTAGATAAGAAGAATCAACATAATTAATAAGAAACCCCATCGGCCACGGCTAACCAAAACTTTAAACAGAGCCAATGAATAGATGAAAAGAAGCAAAAGCAATAAAGTCAGCTGACTCGTCAACAAATCCCCACAAATTGGGAGTAACTACTGTAACACTACTATACAAAGAGACTCCACTGAGAGAAGAGAAAAAATGAGCACAACAATACAAAGATAACAATTGTTGGTGGGGTGGGTGGTATAGTCTGTGAAATAACCTATATTTGTGGCTTGAAGTTGCCAAGTTTTAAGTTTATTGGCATATAATTTTTTATATTAAGATATTATAAATAAATTAAACTATTCAATTATTTTGAATGCTAATCAATAAATTGTAAAATTTAAAAGAATCTACACTGGCATAACAATCTTTAATTGTCATATAAATGCCTATCCGGATGGAAACTTCCACACATTTTATTACGACTAAAAAACTTATTGGAATAGGAACCTATCAAGTGTAAATATTCTTGTATAAATAAAAAAGGTACGTTTTAGACCGATATAAATATATGAAAATAAAAACTAAATGGACTGTTTTTTTAAATCAAATATGTTTCCTCCAATAAGAAAAATATACATATTCTATAATTGGTTATCTACGCTATTTTATTGATATTTTTTAAATATTGTTTATTTTATGCTTATGGAGCAGTTTATATTCTATTATCAATGGGAAAGATTGAAATTAATAAAGAAATAAATTGAAAATAGTAAAATTATATTCAACTGTTTCTAAATGGGAGTTTATCAAACAATCCCATGATTAGAAACAAAAACAAAACATCGATGGTAGCTCTGTCATTAACAAAAGCAAAAACAAGTCACATGACATTCAGTAAAAAAGTAACTACTACACGTATGACAGTCAAATTTCTCAACTAGAAAAAAGTACCCAGTATTTTTCTTGAAGCAAAAAACTCCTTTTGGCAGTAGCCAAGGATCTTTAAGCATCCCACTTTGGCCTTAATCTCAAGATATACAAGAAATATGGGATAAAATATTGAATGAATAAATACTATTGATTTTTCTTTTTTTTTTATTTTTTTGCTTCTCCTCTTTTAAATCAAACGACGACGTAACTTTTGACTACTCTCTTTCTGCCAATATTTTATATTCCCTCACTCTCTCACTCTCTGTGTATACGTTAAAAAATAATATGGCGACCACTATCTTGACATTTTCTCGCTGCTGCTGCTGTCGTTGTTGTACTCTTTACATTGCACTTTTTTTCTTTTGGGGGAAAAAATTCCTTGACTTTTTGCAAATGTAAAATTTAACATTTTTTTCATCGTCGTAAAATTTCTACTTACTCAATCTTGGTTGGGAAATGAAATCTCTGGAGACGGCCAAGACGTGCTCCCTTTGAGCTTGTGATGCAGTAATGGACATTTTGCCTTGGTTTTTGCTGTTTTTTATTCTATTGAATTTGCTTTCACTTGTTTTTCTTTGGTTCCGATTGGAATTTCTTCACACTCGCCCAGTTAGAAAAATTCTAGCTATAAAATGCAATAACACACAAAAATATTTAATTAAAACACCGTTTTTGCGATGGAAGAAAACTTCAAATTATACACACAATTTTTCTTGGTTGAAAATCACAATTTTTTTTTCTATCTATTCCGAGGGTCCAGTCCAAGTCAGCTGCGTTCCGACGTTGATGGAGTACGAAGAAAAATTCACTCTGAACTAGTAAAATTCACAATGACATCTCACGTGCTGTCATGTGATTAACGAAATCCACACAATTTGTGGAAACTAAATTTGACAGCTGTCAGCTGTCATACGAAAAACGTAAACACAGGGTTGTTATTTGAAGCGGCAGATGTGCATTCCTAATGGAATGTACTAGATTTCTTTGAAAGTACAATGTAAAATAAGGTTTTATTGACGTTGGACAGAGCTAATTGATCAATAAAAATGTAATAGGCAACAAAATAAACCAGGCGACCTCTATACTTCTGCCATTTCTAATATAAACAACATCCACACGACTGTAACTGCAATTCGCCGCCACTGGATGGCTGTACAGGGTTGTAATTTTGCCTATTGACAACAACAATTTCGCAGAAAGTGAATCTCGCAAAACGTGTCTGTCGGAATTTTTAGTTTTATTTTTTGCAAAAGGCAGCATCATTTCGTTCCCCCGGAAACAAGTGCTGAAATTTTATACGTTTTTTATATATCCATCCATAAATATACAAATCTAACTTTTGTATAATGGCTTTAAATCCCCTGTACGATGATATTGGCAAAGGATTTGTCCAACAATATTACGCCATGTTCGACGATCCATTGCAGCGACCAAATGTGGCCAATTTCTACAGTGCTACTGACTCATTTATGACCTTCGAAGGACTTCAAATGCAGGGAGCAACAAAAATCATGGAAAAAATTACAAGCCTTTCGTTTCAAAAGATTACCAGAGTGATTACGACCGTGGATTCACAGCCCATGTTCGATGGTGGCGTTCTAATCAATGTCCTGGGTCGTTTGCAGTGCGACGAAGACCCTCCACATGCCTACTGCCAGACCTTTGTGCTCAAGCCCTTGGGTGGCACCTTCTTCTGTGCTCATGATATTTTCCGTTTGAATATTCACAACACCGCATAAATGAACATAAATCGCTAAAAGCTATACTATATGTTTTATACTATCTGGGTGGGGTCGTGGTCACTAAGAGGATCTCACTCTGTTGTGCTGTGGCGGTAGCTAGCCTAATTTGCATTATCAATCAACCGGCTTTTCCCAAGACCCAAGGAATTTAAAACAACAAAAATGAAAAATAAATATTTATAACCTAAAACTCTTGTGTATTGTAAGTCTGAAATAAATAATAAAAAAAATGGTTTGTTTTCAAGCATTCGTCTATTTATATTACTTTGCTTTTCTTTTTGTTCTCGTTGTTGTTGGTTGTTGGGATGGATGGAGAGAAGCAAGATGACGCATCAAAAGGGGCCACTTTATTGTAGGGATGCCAAATTGTGAAATGTTTTGAGGGAAAATTGGATTGGGAGTCGGAATTATTTGCAGTTTATAATAAATTTATCGTGGTACTATGTGAATATTTTCGCCTTGAAATGTTTTGTTGATATGAATATCTGCATTAAAAATATATATTTTTTGAGAGTAATATTTTATAGAGTAATTTCTTACATATCACATTGTGATCAAAACTAAATTTAAGAAAAATGCAAGATGCGAACGCAAAGTTATACTGATTTTTTACCAAAATTCTAAATGCGCAAATGTTTGTGATGGATATGCGAGGCAACTACAGATCAGTAGTGTTGCAAATAGAAAAACTAGCAATAGGTGTGTTCGTTTGCGAAAAAAATTTAAATTTATATACATTTGCTCCGATTCAGAATCTGCTATTTTTTCGATATCATAAAGGGAAAATCCGCTATCGTAGTAAGATGCATCAGTGCTTGAGAACACTGATATGTCAAAATTTCTTAAATGTTTTTTTAAACAAGTAGATTTGTATTTGTTTTGCCATACGATAACAAACGGAAGTTTTTATGAAACGCGTTTTTTTTTAAATTTTTTACAAATTCGAATAATTTTTTATTCAAAAATATCAATTCCAAAATTGGTTTGACAGTTCGACTATCTGTATTCTTCTACCATGATTCTTGCAGTTCTGGAACATACCAATTTTTACTGGGAGTTGCTCATTCGACTCAGGAACTTTGTCTGAGAAAGTTGGCGAAAAACAAATACAAACTTTTACATTCTTGCAGTTTGGGAACATACCAATTGTCTTCATTGTAGCATGTTAAGAATGATGTTCTTGCTTAGCACCTGTCTGAGAATTCTTTCTTAAAGAGATTTTTTATAAAATTGAAATAAAAACAAATAAAAAAGCTGGGCCGGGCCGAACTTTGAATACACTCCACCATTTGAAACGAATTTTGGCAATTCTTGATAACAATGAAATCATTTAAGAATACTATTAAAATCTTAAAAATACCGAACGACATTGAAATGCATAGGTAACTTTCGTCACAATCCGTCACAATATTCAAATGCGAAACTAAAAAAAAACGGTGAATAATGTAGCTTAAATCATCAAAATACAGAATATCGGAAGGTACCGTTAAATGGGGGGCTATACGAAGACTGGACCTGCACAGACAATTTTCTGTATAAAGCTGTAGCATCCATTACGAACTTCAAATACCAAACTTGAAACAATTCTGGCGAAAAATGTCCATAAAATCATTAAAATACCGAATATCGGGAGATACCGTTAAATGGGGGCTCTACGAAGACGTGGACCTGCACAGACAATTGTCTTAGGCTGTAGTATCCATTATGAACTTCAAATACCAAATTTGAAACTATTCCGGTGAGTAACGTCGCTAAAATCATATTGGGAGTACCGTAATATGGGGGCTATACCAAAACGTAAACCTACATGGCCCACTTCCAATACCAAAAGGCCTGCAGACATAATATACATTTGAGTAAAATTTAATCAATCTACTTCATTTCGTTCGGAAGCTAGAGTGACGACGGATCACATCGCTAATTCGACATCGAATTTTATGCTGATCAAGAATATATTTATACTTTTTGGGGTCTAAAATGTAGGTGTTACAAACGGAATAACAATCTTTATATACCCTCCATTCTATGGTGGAGGGAATAATGAAAAACTGTTCCTTCCTGTTGGAAAATATATCAATACCATTCAATACATCATATATCAATTCCAAATTTCAGGATACCATATCCAAATACTAGAAAACAAAAAAAAAAACATATTGGAAACAAAGCGTAGACGTTGAGAAATGAAACAATTAAATAGCGTTAAATTCAATCAGGCCGGAATTCGGGATTTAATATTCAAGATGCAGATTATACCCGATATTTCGATGAGTTAAAAACGGAATATGGTATCGGGAAGGATTAAAAATCAAGTCAGATGAAACTTTTATGTATTTTGACAGATTTACTTCAAAAATTAATGCAACTTTGTGTGCTAAAACCTATTTTATTTGGGAATATAGGTACACAATAAACAATGGACTCTTCAGAATTTTACAAACGGAGTGGTTTCTAGGAACTTAAATATGGACCTATAGAGTCGAGTTACTAACAAATGTACATCGTTACGTAGGGTATGCAGAGTATACGAATTCAGTCAAGATTGAAACTCTCCGTCCTTTTTAAAAGAGACAGCTAGTTAATTATTTATTAACACACTAAAGTTTTCCATAATCTGTTGGTTTCGATTTATTTCGTTTATAGACTATAACGTCTTGTGAAAACAATTCAATTCATAGATGCAGTGCATACGATGTAGGTATACTAACTTAAAATATTAACCCAAAATTAACAATAGAAATAATTTCAATTGTATTATTCTATTTTATTTATTCAATTTCAACAACAGCGCCAGCCTTGGTTAAAGCTTCCTTAAGTTTTTCGGCTTCGTCTTTGGGTATGTCGTCTTTAACAACTGTTGGAGCACTTTCAACGAATTTCTTGGCTTGTACCAAATTCATGCCCTCCAAAAGATTCTTGACTTCCTTGATTAGTGCAACCTTTTGTTTTTCATCGAATTTCACAAGTTTCACTTTGAAGGAAGTTTGTACTTTCTTGGGGGCTGCCTCTTCTTCTTCCTCAGCAGCGGCAGCTGGTCTGGCAGGGCCCATGGCCATTTGTGGAACGAATGAAGTTTCGGGCAGGTTCAATTTACTCTTCAACAAAGCACTGAGTTCGGAGACTTCCAAAAGGTTAAGTCCAGCTATACTATTGGCAATACTCTCGAGTTTTGGATTAACCGGCTTGGCAACACCTTCTGGTGGTGGTGGTGTAAGATTCTTTGCTCCTTCGGTGGCTGCTGCAGCAGCTTCGGCGGAGAACATGCGGCGAGTTGCATTGCATGTCAATTGTCTTAACACAAAACGGGAGGCAATCATTTTGTAATTATTCAAACGTTTTTATTCAATAATGAAAAGTTATATTGCTCGTGTGGAAGTTGCGGTTATGTAAAATTATCAACACAAAAATTCACTCCACACAGTTGACAGCTCCACATATGGTATCGATTAATCGACAAGTGTATTTTGCTTGAGTCTTCTTCTTCTTTTTATTATGATACTAGAATGGTAACATATATTCGTACCATGTTCCAAAGGGCTGTTTCCATTGATATCATACTTAAATAGGAAGACTAATCAAATGTAGCAAATACTGCAAGTAAGTTACATAAAGAGTGATTTGTTAAGAGCTTGATAACTTTTTTTTTTTTTTAAAAAAACGCATAAAATTTGCAAAATCTCATCGGTTCTTTATTTGAAACGTTAGATTGGTCCATGACATTTACTTTTTGAAGATAATTTCATTTAAATGTTGACCGCGGCTGCGTCTTAGGTGGTCCATTCGGAAAGTCCAATTTTGGGCAACTTTTTCGAGCATTTCGGCCGGAATAGCCCGAATTTCTTCGGAAATGTTGTCTTCCAAAGCTGGAATAGTTGCTGGCTTATTTCTGTAGACTTTAGACTTGACGTAGCCCCACAAAAAATAGTCTAAAGGCGTCAAATCGCATGATCTTGGTGGACAACTTACCGGTCCATTTCTTGAGATGAATTGTTCTCCGAAGTTCTCCCTCAAAATGGCCATAGAATCGCGAGCTGTGTGGCATGTAGCGCCATCTTGTTGAAACCACATGTCAACCAAGTTCAGTTCTTCCATTTTTGGCAACAAAAAGTTTGTTAGCATCGAACGATAGCGATCGCCATTCACCGTAACGTTGCGTCCAACAGCATCTTTGAAAAAATACGGTCCAATGATTCCACCAGCGTACAAACCACACCAAACAGTGCATTTTTCGGAATGCATGGGCAGTTCTTGAACGGCTTCTGGTTGCTCTTAACTCCAAATGCGGCAATTTTGCTTATTTACGTAGCCATTCAACCAGAAATGAGCCTCATCGCTGAACAAAATTTGTCGATAAAAAGCGGATTTTCTGCAAACTTTTCTAGGGTCCATTCACTGAAAATTCGACGAAAATTCACGAAAATTCTATTCATGATGAAATGTCAAAGCATACTGAGCATCTTTCTCTTTGACACCATGTCTGAAATCCCACGTGATCTGTCAAATACTAATGCATGAAAATCCTAACCTCAAAAAAATCACCCTTTATATCAGCACTGCCCAAAACCAAGGTAGAAGAATATAGGTAGATGCTTGGGAACATTTTTATGTCAATTTTTTTTAAATGCTTTATCAAAAATAAGTATATTTTTAAACGTTTTCTTATACGACACAAATCGGTGGTCATTCAATATTTTCAATTCCAAATTCGGTTTGACAGTTCATTGCCGCAGCAGCTGTGTCGATGCTACTACCTGTATTCCTCTACCATGCTCAAAACCGTGTGCTAACACATGTTTCCCGAAAGACAATATTTAAGAGAAAATTAATATTCTGTTTTTCCTTGTGTTCTACGATTTATTTCAATTGTTTTTAAATATGGAGTTGGTCCAAAAGTATTAAAGAAGCTAAAGAAGAAAAAACTGCAACCAACTTCAGACTGCTCTCATTTCTAAGCTACTCGTTCGACAACTGTTAAATTATTCCAGTTACAGCACATTATATTGTTTACAAGCGTACAAGAGAATTTTGGTGAGCATTTTCCAGAAAAAGATATTCGGGATGGAATTCAAGCGTGATTTCTTCATATTTGGCTGGAAAACCACATGTGGCTATCGTTAGAGCACTCCAGCATTTTAATGTGAATAAATATTTTATATCTCGTAACGTCGCTCGTTACCATGATACTGGTAGCTGTGCCCGACGTCAAAGAAGTGGACGGAAGAAAACAGCAACATCAGCAGAAATGACGACTTGATCCAAACCCGCGTCGCAGTGGCCGAAAAATGGCTCGTGAGCTGAACATATCGGAATGTTCCATTCGGCAAATAATAAAATATGAGCTCGGGGTAAAGCCATTGAAATTCCAAAAACAAACAAAATAATCGTGTTTACTTGCCAAAGAAGTCAGCTGAAAATGTGCTCCTTCGGTTGGCCACCACAACTCAAGCGCGGGCCATGGTGATGGTGTGTGACGCCATAACAGCCGATGGTCGCTCTCCGCTCGTATTAATCGACCGTGGCGTCAGAATAAATGCTAACAGTATTCAGCACCATCGCCCACAGCTCGCGCCACCCAAGAATGGTTACAACATGAGGTTCCCCGGTTAATTTCCAGCGTACAATGGCCACTAAAATTTCCGGATACCAATCCGTTGGACTATTGTGTCTGGAGTATTTTGGAAAGTAAGGTTGGCACTAAAAAATACCAAAGTGTTGATCACCTCAAGCAAGCGCTTCGCCGGAAATGAGCTAAAATACTGCAAAGCAACATTCGGGCAGCGTGTGAAGGTTTGAATAGCCGTTTAAAGGCCACAATTCGTGCCAAAGGTGATTAATTCGAACAAATCTAAACTTATTCTAAAATTTGATACTATTTCCGACATTTTTTGCTTTCATTCAAAAAAAAAAAAAATAAATAAATAAAAAAATGTAAAAATTATGGCCTTTGACTTTGTTGCATTTTTTTAATCCACCCTGTATATACAATAGACTTATGAATAAAAATTGTCAACAATGAGATGTTGTCAAGAGTATAATTTTGAAAAATATATAAATTTAAGAAACGGGTGTTCATTCCCCTTTTATAAGCGTCATGGTAATTCAAATATTTTGGACAATCGGACTCCCATTTCATATTTTATAAGCTTTGTGGTTATTCAAAATATTGATCATTTTTGGGGAAGATACCAGATACCAAAATGTATAACCTATTTTTTGCAAACCTAGTACACTTGCAGGTCTTGCAATAGAGCAATATTTTTTTTCTTTTGATAAATGCATTTACTTGCTGTTTGCTCGCAAATGCTCTGTTCCAGAACCTGCAAATGCTACTTTGGCAATCTTATTTGCTTATCATAAAGGGAAAATCGGATAACGTTATTAATTGTATTCTTGCAGTTCTATATTTAAAATTGACAATGAACGACTTCGAGTCATCTACAGTCTGAACATGACATTATTCAACTTTGCTCTCAAAATAGCATTACTGAACAACGTAACGTAGTTCAGCAATATTGCTACCAAAAGTATTTGATAACCAGTTGTCACGCATCACTAGCTTTATAGCGCCGAAAATACAAAAAAATAATCATTTTGTTTATGAATTCGAAACTGGGAAAGGAATAGCAGAAAGGACATTTTGTCGATAAAGTACAAACATAAAGAATACGTTCCTAAATTCAAATATTTTATACATTTTCAGAAAAATGGCAACAGTAATAAAGTCGAAGATGAAAATGAAGGTGGAGTCTGCGGTGTTGGCCGACAAAAAGATAAATAAGAATCCAGCATTCAATGTGATGGAATGTAAACCTTCGCCTGTGGCGTCACGCACTCGTCAGCGATGTAAAACCAAAAATGATATGGAAAAAGAGCAGTTACCGCCACCAGAGTTGAAACCAGAACCACAGTATACATTTGAAATGTTACATGAAGATGACCCCACCGATGAAGAAGAATCCGACGATGAAATAACATTGCCTACACAGAGACCGCCACCACCGTCCTGGAGTTTAGGTATGTGTCGAATTATTTTAGAAAATATTGTGCATCGTTAAAAGCGATATCCTCATGGAATAATGCTTGGCTGATAGAAAATCTTTAAATCAAAATTCTTTTACAAAATACAACAGTAAGAGGGTTATTCATCATTAAAATATTTGTTATTAATATCAAATCATGTTACTAATAATATATGTATAATCATCTAGAATATGAAAACTCTCTCCATTAAAGAACATTCATACTATTTCTGTAACGATACTGCATCAGAAAACATTTATATTGAATGTCGATCTGTTTCTTAACCGCAATAATATTTAAACTATACTTTGTTACTTTTAGCTCGCGCACGTGAACCATATGTTTTGAAACAGGAGTACACCCCAACGGATTATGTTGATTCCTTTTTCTCAGTCGAGCCTATGACGCCTGACCTAAGAATTATGTTTCCCAACATCCATGCTCGTTATTTAAAACGAAGATCCAGTGCCTTTTGGTCAACGCCACCCCGTTATTCAGAGTTGCCTAGATATTAATATATTTGAATTTTTAGCACTATAGATAATTTTTTTTTAATTATATCAATTTTTATTATTTAATAATTCTAAGTTTATTTTTAATCATTGTGTACCTAGATTTCACAAATTTTTAAATATATGCTTTTCTTTTTTTAATTACAAATCTTGAGTTCTTATACCCATACTTTGATGGTATGGTATGGAGGGTATATTAAGTTGGTCACTCCGTTTGTAAATTGTCGAAATATTTATTTAAGACACAACAAAGTTTGTATGTTGTTGATCGGCATAAAACTAAGACAATAAGTGTGCTAATCACTTAGTTTGAAAATGTTTCCGGGCCGGGGACTAAATGGTCAACATTTAATTTTTTTGTGAACGTTTTGCATGAAAAATTTAGTTTGCTCATATTGGGCCTCCCCGAAATTGTTACTAAGCACACTATTTGCTACGTCAGTGCCTAGCTTATTGGTGGTTTAACGGTTTCATTATTCGACTGGGATCCGTCTCGAGTTAATGCATATGCCACTTCATTCCCCAGTACTTGCTATGTCCTGGAATCCAACCAAGTATAATGAATCCATGTGTTTCAAGGATCCTTTTTTTGTAATGAACAATGGTTTTCGATTTAATGGCATTTGACAGCTTCAATTCCCGCTTGTTTGTCAATATATAGTCAGTCACTGGCCCAGTAATGCTATTACAGAGTACACTTACCATTTCGGTTTACTTTCTGATTGCAGGGATCAAGGGCAGAGTACGACAAGGACCTGTGCCTTTTTCCATCTTGGAGTCGCCTGTATAAATGGCGGGAACGTCCAGAGGCTGTTCGTCACCAACCCAGACGTCTCCATCAGGTATCATAACGTCAATGTAATTGAAGTCTAAAAAGGAAAACATATGCAGGGTGAGATGAAAAAACTGCAACCAACCTCAGACTGCTGTCATTTCTAAGCCACTCGTCCGACAGCTGTTAAAATTATTCCAGTGACAGCTCATTATATTATTTACAAGCGTATAAAAGCATTTTGATAAGAATTTTCTAGAAAAAAGTTATTCTTGATGGAATTCAAGCGTGATAGTGTGATTTCTTTATATTTGGCTGGAAAACCACAACTGGCTATCGTTAGAGCACCCCAGCATTTAAATGTGAATAAATCTTTTGTGTCTCATTACCGTGATACTGGTAGCGTAGCCCGACGCACAGTGGGATGAGATGCCCAAAACGGAGATTAATTCAGGGAAGCATTCTATCGCTCTAAAATTTTGCTCAGACATTCATATTGCCTCTAATATGTTTGGCATTAAAAATGGGACATAACGGTCCACGTTTCGGCGAGGCCGCCATATAGCGTTACTTCCGGATTTTTGGATTTTGAAGGTTTCGGCCACAATTTCAAACCCAATCATGATTATCTTGACATTTTGAGTTCGGAGCGGACAAACTCACTTCCTTTTAAATTTTGTGAAGATAAATCCACTATTAGTATTGACCATATATGACGTCATTTCCAAATTTTAGGTATTTTGGAAATTTCTCCCTGCAAAATATATAATGGCATTTCTTAATATTAGATATTTTGAGAGTTTCAGAGTTTTTTACAAACTTATTATTTGGTATTTTGATTCCCAATGGATGGAAGGAAAAATTACAAAAATTGCCTATAAAAAACCAAAATTTTAGTAAAGCCAGAAAAATAATTTATCCTTTGTAAACCCTTCTAAAATCTGAAGACAAAAAGATTACATATTTTTATGAGAAAGAAATAATTATAAAAAAATATGTATACAAAATTGGCTGGCAATCAAGCATTCCGATCTGAAATAGAAAAATCATCCTCCCTTAAATCTCTCTCATTGTCTTAAATTGGATCATCAGTCAAAATTGAGGGTGAGGCAAGTAACCTCACCACTGACTTTTTAAAGAGACTGGAATATTTTTATATATAGTTAAGAATTCCAGTTAATAACAGGATAAAAACGCAGGAGAAACTTATTTAATAAAGAGAAAAAATAAAAAAAAAAAAAAAAATAAAACAGAGAACAAGATCAAAGTACATTCACCGCAGAATCAGTTGACTATTTTCACCATTTTTTAAATTAATCAAAAAAGGCAAAAAACGGCACGAGTTTTTTGTTGATTATGAAAGATGACATTCCATACTAAAATACAAAATTAAAATTTTAAGACCTTCTCGATATTATTTTTTTGTAAACTCCATATACTTTTCAGATATGGCGAAAATATGGTAATATTTTGAATTGATTTTTAAAATATTTTGACATCATTATTTTTAAAACTTTTTTACTCAAAAACACTGATAACAACCTGTATTCGATGTTTCAATTTTAAAATGATCGCTTTTGATGAGAAAAAAAAACACTTCAAAAATTCAAGAATATTTTTTTTCCTTCTTCTTGCGAAAAAAGAAATATTTCTTAACTTTGACACTGTGTAATTAGAAAACTAAACAAGGTATGACTTTAAAATGTTCGGTACTGATGTAGAATTTAGTGTTCTATAATAATTAAAAAAACATTTATTCCATGGCGATTGCGTGGGCTGCCCAAACAGCCGATGGTCGCTCTCCGTTCGTATTAATCGATCGTGGCATCAGAATAAATGCCGAATATTATCCCGAAAATATTTTGGTGGGTATATTAAAGCCTTGGGCTCGCAAACATTTTGGCCGCAGACCTTGCACATTCCAGCAGGACTCAGCACCATCGCACTCAGCACGCGCCACCCAAGAATGGTTACACAATTCGTGCCAAAGGTGACTACTTCGAACAAATCAAAACTTATTCTAAAATTTGATACTATTTCCGAAATTTTTTGCTTTCATTTAATAAAATTAAAAGAAAAAATGTAAAAATTATGGCGTTTGACTTTGTTGCAATTTTTTTATCCCACCCTTTTTTATAACTTTATTCCTAAAAAAATATCATGGTATGATTTAAATGATTTGCTTCAACACAATCACTGTATTACTCGTTCACCGTTGTATTTACTTCATAATTATGTTAATTTTTTCAATTGTACAAATCTGGCAACACCCTGGCCTTATGTTGTGCGAGAGAGCCAGAAGATTAAAATTAAAACAACTCTACGAATCGATCGTTGTGCTGTATGTAGTGTTATTAAACATTTAGTTTTGTGGAAATGTTGTGAAGAGTGGTTGCCTGACTGGCTGTTTGTTTGGCTTGTTCTGTGTGTGATCAACGTTCGCTGTTGTCGTCGTCGTAGTCGATAGTGATTGATATAGTCACCAGCATTGGAAGTTGGCAGTTCAAATTGTGGCAACGGTGTGCACAACCCTCATTCTTTAGTGACAATTGTGTTAGTTTTTCACTTTTGCACTTTTTGTGTAACTTAATTGTGCCAAACAAAAGATCCAGACGTTACGATTCGTTGACGGACGTGTTCAAAACGCTTTGCTGTGAAGTGCGCTGTATGAAATTTGCTAGACGGCGGTAAATCATACAAATGTAAGCTATAAAGAAAGTCTTAACAAATTGCAGAAATACTATAACAGACAGTGAAATCAAAATAAAGTCAGAAACAAAACAAAAACTAAAAACATTTTGCAAAATAAAAACAAACTTAAGTGTGAACGTTTTTTTCGTGGTTTGTTATTAATAATGAGCAAGTCTTTAATGTATTTGTAATTATGAAAGTGTTGAGAGTTTCGTGCTGGCAAATATATCGTTCCGTTTTCCAAAAAAGCCACGTATTTGCTTGCAAAAATCAAAACGACAAAAACAAATCAAAGAAAAACAACCTACAACAAGGAATCAAAAGTGTTAATCAAAAAAGGGTATCTCAATAACACGAAAGAGAAACAAAATTCAAGTCGGCGTATCCGCTGAGCAAAAAAAAAAACAAAACCGAAACATTGGTAGACTTCAAAAACAAACAAAAATTGCAGACTGTTGCTAACCTCCTTTGGTTTGCTTGTAGATCACCACAATAACAACAAAAAACAACGCCAATGGCAGCAGCAAGTAGTCGAAGAAAGTGAGGTTTCTTTACATTACTCTTGGCTGTGTTGGTGTTGTGAGAGAGCGAGAAATATTGAGATTTAGCACATGTCAGGGTTACCGTCGTACCGTAAAATAAACAAAAGTGGTGTAAAACAAATTGTGTTAACTTTTATTTAAATAACCTAATTATTTTACAGCGTACGTAGAAAGAAACAAGAAAATCGGTGTCGGGTCCGCTTTTATGGTTCACAAACCGGATCATGAAAAAGTTTGAATAAAATGTAAAAGAATTTTGCAATAAACTATAACTTTTCTTGCCAATGCGAGGTGCAGTTTACTAACTGTAAGGGTATCAAATAGCTGATGAATTAATTCGAGGGGGTTCCCAATCATCTGATTTGCCGAGTAATGAAAATGTTAAATCGCCGATAAGTTTCAATTTTATGTGAAAGAATAGAACAGCTTCTTTTTCTCGAGATTGTCGGCCAGGTAGACTGGTAGACATATTATTCAGTTTCTAAGTGTCCTAAGATAGTACTTGGAGTGGATGCAAAGTTCTTAATCCTTCAAAATGGGATAAGAGTGGTCCTAACTAGTACAGACCATTAGACGATGAGCAAGGTCGAGACCATATAACACTATTGGTCTGTTCCAGAACCTGCAACAATCTGCTAGCTTTGCAATTTTCTCCGATATCATAAAGGGAAAATCGGTTATGGTAGTAAAAACTTTTATATTCCTGCAGTTAGGAAATATAAACTCTAACATGTTTCTCAGGCATAGATCCAATTATTATCTATAGGCTTGCTAGGCAAACCTCCCTTTGCGAGTAAAGTAAAAATATTCGCAATTATTGTAAAATTCTTTGTCGATTTTTTGAAATCACGAAAGAGCCCACATTCAGAGAGAGAGAGGGAGGAAAAGATAGGGATAGCAACAACTAGGACAAGCACTAATATTATTCCTAGGAAGTATGGTATTGAAAATAGTTATATATGGGTGAATGTTTGGGTATAGGCCCCAAATTACAATATTTTCGGAATTTTTGAGGTCCTGTGCAGGCAGCGCTCACAGTTACGTTACGATTCGCGCATGTTAGAACAATATAGGTAAATGCATCAACGCTCGAGAACATTGATATGACAACAATTTTTAAATATTTTTTTTTTTCAAAAATAAGTAGATTTGTATATGTCTTCCTATACGACGCCAATCGGAGTTAATTATAATATGTATTTTTAAAAAATTTTTACAAATTTGAATAATTTTTCATTCAAAAAATTTGAATTCCATAATTGATTTGACAGTTCATTGCCCCAGCATTGTACCATGGATTCGCGTAATCTTTGAAGAAGTACGGTTCAATGATGCCACCAGACCACACCAAACTGCGGCTTTCTGGTTGCTTCGACAATTCTGCATTTTTTCGATAAAAGTGGATCCTCGGGAAACTTTCTAAGAGCTCATTCACAAAAATGTTGCGTAGCAGTTCGGCTTCAATTCTTTTCGCCAGCTGTTTTTTTAAAGGTTTCACACTTAAATCGTACACCAATATGTTTCACGTTGATGAATAACGGAGGACTAAATGTCATCATTGTGATATTTTCTTCAGTTTTCACTTTAGGAAAGTATGTTGGTGGTTAAATGCCCACCAATGTACATTTGGTGTGAAATGAAGTCACAGTTGGTCAATTAAATTAAACCATGATGAACTTTCTTCACTGATAATAGAATTTAATCATTTTCAAGCGTTCTTTGTTTGGATGACGGTTCATAGTTAAAATATAGACCAAACTGAAGATTTTTGACAGTGAAACAAAACACGAAACATGCGTGAGTTGATTAAACCAAAATGAAAATAGCTTAAAAATCACCCTTTACAAAATAAATAAATAATTTGTATTTTATTAACATTGTATATTATTAACTGTGTCTACGAAGATATATCCTAAATCCTGTGAAATCAAAGTGATTGTTACCATATTTGAAATCCACTTATCAAATATTTTTGTGAATTGGAGAGTAAGAATACTCCGAGAAAATTTATTTAGGATAGACCAGATTTTGAAATTATATTTTTTAAACGAAAATCGTTCTTATTCTCCATTACGGGACGAATAAAGCTATACCCCTTATTACTAACTTACTTTAAAATTGGCAATACTAACACCCCAAATCCACTCCAAGCAGAAGTGGTTGAGTTCACGAATGCAAATATTTGTTTTGCATGGGAGCAGGTTCCTGCTCTTCATTTTGTTGTTTTTGTTTTGTATCTCGGTTGTGTTTTTTTGCATTTAGCCTCTCTTTGTTGACTGAAATGAGTTCGCACTTTTTTTTTCGATGGCGACTCTCGTTGTTTGTGCAAATTGCAAAATGGACAAATTGACACAATATTTCGAAATCTTTTTTTTTTGTTATTTCATAAAATTGTCTCCACAATCCGAAAATAGGTATGTTCTTCATAAATTAATTAGAGCATTAAGTTGTTAGTAGAGTACATGTGTGCACATGGTAACTCTTTTCTCTCCACTTTAATTCTAAGAAGAGTAGT